CAGTCTTTTTTTAATTTGTCAGAAGTAGTGTTTTCTTCTGTTTTGGAAAATGTAATCCAATCTTTAAAGTCATCTTTCTGTAAGTAAGTAGTGGTATGAATAGGTCAAAATTGTGGATAATGGGAAAATAGCATGCTTGATGTATTCTTTTAGAGGTTCATTTTGACTTAATCCTAGCTCTATACAAAAATGAGTTTTTCTTTAAGAAACTGTTTACTACATGGAAATAGGGTTAAATAAATAAATATCTTTATAATTTGAAAATTACTTCTAATTTTAATGTTTCATAAATGTTTTTTCTTAATATCGTAGTTATGCTAATCTAAATGCATCGTGAACATCTCTAAGAGATGGTTAATATGCTTGAAAACTAAATTACACTGCAGAGAATGAGTGATATATACCTATGGAGTCTCATGACTGCCTCACCCAATTGATAGAAAATCCCTTCTCATTTTCTCTCTTTTTTTTTTTTTTGGTATCGGGATCAAACTCGGGACCTTGAGCTTTCGAGGCAGGCAGCAGAACCACTGAGCTAAATCCGCAGCCCTCTATTCTTTTTAATGACAGAAAAAAAAGTATTTGCCACTGTAACAGTTTCCAAGGTCCGGAGACTGTGATGACCTGACCCAGTACAATGGTCCTGTGCTGAGAAGCCCTGCAGCTGCGGTCACCGTCTGAGTAGGGTGGGCTGAGTGTATCTGCTCAGAAGATAGGGCTGCTGCCACATGGGCTTACACACCACTGGCCATGGCAGAAGCGGTTCTCCTTTATTCCTAAAGGCCGGATAATTTTATGCAGTGTTTATAAATTATAGGTATTTATTCTTTCCAAGTTAGGCCTTTAGTCTTTTTTTTTTGGCTATCAGTTTATTCATGAATATTGTTAAAGTTCCTGTGCTCGGCCTGTTTTCTACTGGATTTTCTGACATTTTCAGTTATCCTAGTTCTGCATATGTTATGAATATTGCGTCTTTCTTATAAATCATGTAGTCTCTACCTTTGTTTTTAAATATATTTGATTTAATAGCCACACCCACTTACTTTTGTTTACTTTTTACCTATCTCGTATGTGAAAAGTTGATTACTTATGAAATTTATGAAATTGAAATTCTCTTTTTTTTTTGCTCTCTTGTAAATTTTAAAATTATAACCTTTGTCCACTATTTTTTTGGTACCGGGGATCGTCCAACTTGGGACCTTGTGCTTGCAAGGCAGGCGGCAGCACCACTGAGCTAAATCCCCAACATTTGTCCACTTTTGAGTTGTTTCTATTACCAATTTGTAGGAGTTTTTTAAATTTTATGAGTATTAATTTATTTCCTTGTCATATTCTTTATTCCATGTATATACATATCATTCAATATATCTTTATATTTGTAATATGCATACATATTTTGCATATAATAGCAAATAACATATGCAATCAAATTGATCAGTTTTTCCCTCCATGATTTTAGTTTTGTATCATGCTTAGCTAATATAATATTCTTCACTCTAAGGTTGTATATTAGATCACATAAATACGTGTTCCCATGTAGTCAATTGTTTTCAAGTTTTTCTCACTTTTTATTAGTATATATTTATGATATACATTCATTTTGGGGAAATTTGTACATATACATAGCACATCTTGATCCTTTTTGCTTACCCTTCCCTGCCCGCCCTCATCCACAGATTCACTTCCCATCCTTTCAGAGAACCAACTCTGTAATTCAGTGATCCTTTGTATTGTTTTCTTTTAGTCTTAATTCACTGATCTTTATAATTTCTTTTCCTGTATTAGTTTCAGATTTGCATTGTTTTTGTCTGTCTAGGACCTGCCTGGAAATAAATCGGGAGGTTACTTATTTGAGATTGATCTATCCTTTTTATCTGTGCATTTACAGCTACGACCTTCCCTCTTAGAACTGCTTTCATTGTATCCCATAGGTATTGTATGTTGTGCTTCCATTATCATTTGATTCGAGAACTTTTCTTCCTTGGTTTCTTCTGAGTCAGTATCCATTGATTATTCAATAGTGTAGTCTTTAAATCTCTGTGTATTCGTGTAGTTTCTGTGGCTTTTTTTTTTTCTGTTGACTTCTATCTTCATTCCACTACCTAACACATGGTCTATTTTAGAAAAAAGTACTTGTGCTGTTGAAAAAGATGTATATTCCTTTGCTGTTGGAGAAAACACTCTAGATATCTGTTAAGTTCATTTGTTCAAGGTTGTGGTTTAACTTTAATGTTTCTTTATTGACTTTTTGACTCATTGACCTAATGGTACAGTAGGGTTTTTAATTTCCCCACTCTGATTTTATTGGTGTCTGTCTGTCTTAAGTCTAATAGATTTTGTTTCATGAGGTTGTATGCACCAATATCCAATGCATAGATTTTACAATTCTTATCTGTTCCTGTTGAAAATTCCCTTTTCTAGTCTGTAGTGGCCATCTCTGTCTTCCATTTTTGTAGTTTCTGGATGATTTCCTGTCAACGCTTCCTTGATTCCTGGAGATTTCCTTTTTCTCTTTGATAACTTGTTTTCCAGGTGACTTGCTTCAGCTTCCCTGAGGGTGTTTTGCTATCAGTCTGTATTCCACCATTAGTAATCTTCAATTCTAATATTTAAATAAATAATTTTACAGATTTATTTTGCTATATGATGTGAGGTAGGGTTCTGTTTTTCCCTAGAAATGTTCAGTCAGCTTTCTTTTTTAGTACTGGGGATTAAACTCAGGACCTCATGCTTACCAGGTAGGCACTGTGCCATTGTGCTACATCCCAGGCTAGTCAGCTTTTCTTGACATTTATTAATCTGTTTTCATCATTTAATGGGCTTACTTTTTAAAAAATCCTTTAGATTTAAATAAATACCTGTCTTTATTCTACAGAGGCCCAAACTACATTTCATATTATCAACATATCAACATGCTCTCTTAAAAAAAAGAAAACAAAAGAAAGAAAAAGCTTTGAGCCTCTCTTAGGCAGTCGAGGAAAATCTATTGAAAATTTCAGTAATTATGAGCAGCCATAATTAAAAACAACAAACAAAATATCTCCATTCTACAAAAGGAAAAGTGACCCTCAAAACAGCAAGAAGAAATTCTTTCAAAACTAACTGTTGCCGTATGTTTCTTCTTCAATGTTTATGTTTTTTTAGCTTTCACTTAAAAGCAGTGTTTATTACTTCATCCTCAGTGGACAAAAATGGTCTTGTGTTTTGGAATATTTTATCATTCTCTTGATCCCATAAATAATGACTACCTAAAAGGCATTTAAGATACATAATTAAATGATTTTTTTTTTTTTTTTTTTTTTTTTTTTTTTTTTTTTTTTTTTAATTACCATGTGCTTGTGAGGCAGGCAGCAGCACCACTGCACTAAATCCCTGGCACAAAACCATTTATTTTATTTTTGTTTTTGTTTTTGGTACCCAGATCAAACTCGGGACCTTGTGCTTGCGAGGCAGGTGGTGGCACTACTAAGCTAAATCCCCAGCCTTCATTTTATTTTAAATAAAAGAATGGGCAGAAATAAAGAGAATGCTCTTCTTTAGTTCTTGGAATGTGAAAGTTCTTTGAGGTGTGGTTACGTTCTTATTTCTACTTGACATTTTAGGTACATGCATGCATAAAGCTGTTAGTCCTTCCTTTGTGAAAGTCTTTTCCTACTGCATTGGACATAGACATCCAGATTATGAGTTGAACATGAATTAGGAACTCTTGACTTTTCATCTGAAATTCTTCAAATATTCGTAACCTACACAAAAGTAAAATTACATAGTACAGTGACTCCACCTGGGTACAACAATTACAGACATTGTTCAACTTTTAATACATTTTTATATATTCATATTTCTCCAGATGTCCCCAATGTCTTTTATACTTTTTCCTAATTCAGACTCCAGTAAAAAAAAAATCACACTGGACCTTTTGGGTGTTTCAACATTTTTAGTGCTTCAGTTCTTTAATTGAAAAGCTGCCCTGGAGCTGGGGCTGTGTCTCAGTGGTGGAGCCCTTGCCTAGCATGCTTGAGACCCTGGTTTAGATCTTCACTAATACAAAAATAATAAAGGAAGGACTCCCTCTTGGTTGTTTTCTTTTCGTTCTTTTGTGGTACTAATATTTTTAAAAGTTCAGGCCACTTGTAGATTATACCAGTCTAGATGAGTGTGATTTATTTTCCTCAGAATTAATTCAGGCTAAACATTCAAGCAAGGAAGAAAATACATAAGACATATGACTTCTCATCCTGTCCTATGAGGAGATTCATGTCAGTTTGTCTCATTGTTAGTGCTAAATTTGATCATTTTTTAAACAACACATACATCTGTGATACAGTCATCTCCTAAATGTTATCTGTGTGGTAATAATTTGAAGTTATGTGAATGGTCTCTGTTTTTAGCATCCTTTAATGATCTTGCTTTTAATTATCAACTATTTTGTAGATAAATGAAAAATAGTTTTTCAGATTTCCTACATATACTAACTAGAAGTGTTTCACTTTGTGCTGGGGATTTAGTTCAGTGGTTCCGCCACCTGCCTTGCAAGCACAAAGACCCGAGTTTGATCCGTGGTACCAAAAAAAAAAAAAAGAGAAATGTTTTACTTTATGTTATAAAGAAGACCCGAGTTTGATCCGTGGTACCAAAAAAAAAAAAAGAGAAATGTTTTACTTTATGTTATAAAGAAATATATAATTTGTCTTATTGTCCTCTCAAATTTTATGGCAATAGAGTTAAGTAAAATTCTATGTGCCATTAGTTTTATTTTCTATCCTGATGAAATAAGGAAGATGATAATGTTTTGGGGTAGCAAATACAGTTTCACATAATTTTTTTGATAACTCATTTTGTTACTAGATTTAAATAAAGCATTTCTTTTTTGCAGTTAGTGTTGTTTATCCTTATCCCTTTATTTTTCTTTTTTAACTGCCTAATTACTAGTTGCTTCTAACTTAATTATCTCTATGGCCCTAACATTTATAAAAATTACGCATTAATTTCCATTATTATAGCCGTGGAAATACAAAGGACACTGAATCAACTTGGAACACCTCAAGATTCACCTGAATTGAGGCAACAGCTGTAAGTACTTAACAACAACAAAAAGAAAAGTTACTGTTGTTTCTTTGGTAGTACATGCTTACTAGAGAAAACAATGGAAAATTAGTAAGATTTTTTTATAACTACCTCATCTAGACATCTGTACCATGTGTTTATGTAGTTTTTACCCTGTCCAAAGGAAGCAAATGTTTGTAAAGATCCAACTTACTCTATCAAATCAAAACTTCTTGAGTTGGCCTTTCTTGTGCTTTTTAAATTGGTTGTTTTACAGCTTTTTAAAAATTGGACTCATAACTACAGCACTCTGAAAAAAGAAATCGAAGAGGATATAAAAAAATGGAAAGATATCCCCTGCTCCTGGGTAGGAAGAATCAACATAGTGAAAATGGCCATACTACCGAAACTGCTATATACATTCAATGCAATGCCAATTGAAATTCCAACACTATATTTCACAGAACTAGAAAAAAGAATCCAAAAATTCATTTGGAACCACAAGAGACCTAGAATAGCAAAAGCCATTATAGGCAACAGTCACATGGCACCAGGTGTAACAATTCCCAATTTGAAACTATACTACAAAGCCACTGTGATAAAAACAGCATGGTACTGGCAAAGAAATAGGCCTGAGGATCAATGGAACAGACTGGAAGACACAAAAACAAATGCAGATGTACTCAGCTACCTCATCTTCGACAAAGGAGCTCACCATCCTCAGTGGAGGAAAGATAGCCTCTTTAATAAATGGTGTTGGAAAAACTGGATATCAACCTGTCACAGATTAAAATTAGACCCTTATCTTTCGCCATGCACTAAATTAAAATCCAAATGGATTAAAGATCTAAATATTAAAACAGAAACATTAAACTTGCTGGAAAGTAAGTTAGGCAGAACTCTGGAAGACATTGGTATAGGAAAAGACTTTATGAACAAATCCTCAGTAGCACGGGAACTAGCAGAAAGAATCAACAACTGGGATCTCATCTTACTAAAAAGCTTCTGTACTTCAAAAGAAACCATTAGCAGAACTAAGAGACAATCTACAATGTGGGAAAAAATTTTTACCAGCTGTACCTCAGACAAAGGACTATTATCAAGGATATATAAAGAACTCAAAACAATCAGTCCCCCCAAATATAAAGACCCGATCCAAAAATGGGCATCCGAAATGAACAGACATTTCTCATACAAAGAAGTGAAAGCAGCAAGAAAATATATGAAAAAATGTTCCACATCACTGGTCATTCGAGAGATGCAGATGAAAACAACACTGAGATTCCACCTCACCCCACAAAGAATGGCTGCTATCAAGAAATCACACAATAACAAATGTTGGCGGGGTTGTGGGGAGAAAGGAACCCTCCTCCATTGTTGGTGGGAGTGCAGACTAGTGCAACCACTATGGAAATCAATATGGAGATACCTCAAAGAGCTTGGACTGGAGGTTCCATTTGACCCAGCCATCCCTCTGTTGGGTATCTTTCCAAGAGAACTAAAAGAATCATATCACAGAGAAGTATGTGCACCCATGTTTATAGCGGCACAGTTTGTAATAGCTAAATCTTGGAAACAACCTATTTGCCCATCCGTTGGAAACTGGATAAAGAAGTTGTGGTTTTTCTATAAAATGGAATATTACTCAGCCATAAAGAGCGAGAGAATAGATTCATTCATAGGAAAATGGATACATATTGAAGATATACTCCTAAGTGAAATAAATAAGTCCCACATGTGTAAATACCAAATAGTTTCCCTGGTGTGAATATTCTGCAACAATGCATAAGATTCTAATAAGATTACTGACATTTAGAAATGGGAAGAAAGGAGCTAAAGGTGTAGGGAAGGTGTGATACGTAGGGGAAGAACAAAAAGGGAAAAGAAAAAAATGTGAGAGAATGAAAAGATGAAAATAAAGTGTTTGTAGATGGGGAGGGGAGGAGGGGGTGAAGGGAGGGCAGAGGTAAGGGGAAAAAAATGAGAATCAAGACTTGCCATGTAAAGGTACATGATCCCAACAATGAATGTAACTGTACTGTATCCCTAAATGTACCAATAAACTCAATAAAAAAAAAAAATTGGACTCATGCTTCCCTTTGGTGATCAGATTTTTATTAGGTTTAGGTCTAGTACATATCCAGTTCTGTAAACTGTCCTCCTAAATCCCACATCTGTGAATTTCAAAAAGCATCAGCTTCTATTAAAAAGCAGGTATAGTGAAATGATGCAGTACATCTTCTAGTAAATCAATATGCTGTTAAAACAGTGACTATACTTCTCTGTATATTGAAGGAAAATTGCAAAGAAATATATAATAGTAATTCATAAGCATTATGGTCTTCTTTAGAACTTTGACTGTACAACCATTTCCAAGGATTTAAATAAGATAAGATATTTGGTAAATAAATATATAAATAGCTTATATTTCTTTGATAGTAGTTCCGTAGAGATACTTAAGCATGTTCTTGGGTAGTATCTCTTTAGTGTGGCCAGTACATGATTAAAATGAGAGGGCGGATATACATGAGAGGCGCTGTTGTAATTTATAAAGAATCAACGTGATGCAAGCTTATTTTTTTCAACATTAGATTTTTTAAGTTAAAAATATTTTTCCTTATTTATTAATTCAGAAGATATAGATATGGATATAATTTACATCCCCTTACAAGGAAGTGCTATTAACTTTTTCCACATCATGCTTAGATAATGGTGAATTTGTACTATGATTACTTCTTCTGTGTTTTAAAGTATGCATTAGATATAAATGCCCATATAAAGAAATAACACTATATGTGCCCAAGACCAAGGAAATGGGCCAAGTGGAGGACAGTGCAACTTACTCAGTCAACGACCTCCTCGCTGTGAGACACAGATAAAAGACCCCACATTTCCAGTATCTCAGACTTCAAAGTCCCGACCGCCAACATCTCTTGATTGAATCCCCTCCTGACGTCAGTTATCCTCTTTCCTAAATGGCTCTTGGTATTTTTGTAAGCTTCTTTACCCTATCAGAATGAAAAATTGTTTATATAGTGTTTATCAAAAAGAGCATATGAAATTTTGTTACAGGAAATTTAGTTTATAAAACTATAAGCAGTTTTATTATTTGTACTCTAATAAAACTATAAATATTTTCTAGAAAGTGATTTTCCTGAAGGTGTTCATCAGGGTGGGTGCAAATGGCAGAGTTGCAGCATAAAGAGCATTATCAGTTCTTTGCCTGTAATAGGTGTTTTCTCTCTTTAGGCAACAGAAGCAGCAGTATACTAACCAACTTGCCAAAGAAACAGATAAGTACATTAAAGAGTTTGGATCTCTGCCCACCACCCCCAGTGACCAGGTATCAAGCTTTAAGTTGCGTGGTGACGTACTGCATGTGAAAGAAATCAAATGCACTAAGCTGTGATGCTAGAAAAGGAAGTCGAGGGCCAAAATTCCTATTTTACTTAGGTAGTATCTTGTGGTTCAGGAAAGCAAAAATTATTTCCATGCAGTTGCCTTCACCCATAATTAAGTACGTGCTCAGAAAATGCTTCCTGAGTAATTGCTTCCTGACCTCCAGGCCTGGTTCCATATGACATGCACACTCATGCACAACAGGGAAGGCCGCCAAGGGGCGTATATTTGTTTGTGTACCTATGTAATGGAAGGAAGTTATGACTTAGGTAAGGATATAAGGTTTTACTTGCTCCCCAAAAGAACTTTAAAATAACTTCATAATCATGAACCAGTTTCTAGCAGCCACAAAAATTTGAGGGGAGAGACCCAGCAAGATGAGCCTTTTGCCTCAAGGTAAATTGTGCACAATGTTTGAACGTATAGTCAAAATGTTACTGCAGTGAATCAGCAAATTGGGGATTTAGTAAAATTTTTAGAATTGAAGAGCCAGCCAGCATGATGCTAGTAGACTTCTTCCCCCTTTCCTCTAGCGTCAAAGGAAAATACAGAAGGATCGCTTAGTGGCCGAATTCACAACAGCACTGACAAACTTTCAGAAGGTCCAGAGGCAAGCAGCTGAGAGAGAGAAAGAATTTGTTGCTCGAGTAAGAGCCAGTTCGAGAGTGTCTGTAAGTACTTTCAACAGCACTGTAAAAACAAACTTGATATTCTCTGAATCCCCGAGAAATCTACTCTTGTGATTTTTTTGTCATAGATACGTGGATATTTTGGAAGTCTATATTTGAATGTTTATTTTCAGGCTCTTCTGCTCAATTTTTAAGACTGATAATGGTTTATATGTTGTTGTTATTTTGATTATGTCATGGAACAGAAGATATAATATAGAAACCTGTCAAAAACCCAGTGAAATCACGGTGGTTTCTCATTGAGTGGGAGTCAAGGCTCTCCACTGTGTGCATGCTAAGGCAAACAGCGCCTCCTGCGGGACACGGAGGAGACACAGTAGGGCTGAACAGAGTCCGCAGCGTATAGGATAGGAGTATTGAATATGGACCTGGAGAAAATAAGACGTTGTTTGAAAGTGGAATTTTGAGATAATCAAATGTTAAATTCCCTCAGAAACCATCATAAGTTATTTTCTTATTCTGTAATGTAGAAGTTCCACAACTACATTAACTTTTAACCAAATAATATTTATTTTTTGGCCCTTGAGCATACTTAATGAGCTTGTCAGCTCAGAATGTAATGTTATTGAAGCATTTGGCCTAGAAAATTAGGACAAGGGTTTCGCTTGTCTACACATACACATAGATACACACATATGTGCACATCCCAAATAAATAATAAATTTAGATTATTTTAGGTAAAATGTGAATGTTGTTTATTTTATCTTGCCCTTGCTTTCTTTGCTCTCTCTTAAATCATCCTGTTACTAAATTATTCAGGGCGGTTTTCCTGAGGACACCTCAAAAGAAAGGAATCTTGTATCCTGGGAAAGGTAAGAAATATAAATATTTTTTCGATCAGAAGATAATGTTTTGTTGTTGCTCTGTTTAGTTTTGAGGAGGGTCTTGCTGTGCAGTCCAGGCAGCCTGGAACTCCTCTGGAGGCCACTTTGGCCTCGAGCTTGCAGTCCTCCTTTGTCAGCCTCCTGAATGCTGGTGTTGAGAGGCACACCGCTACACTTTGCCAAAAATAACGTTCAAGGTTTAGACATTACAGCTTTCAGTATATCATAGATAAATGTCCTATATTACTTATAGATTTAAAAGTAATACATTTGAAAGGAAGGGCAGGGACAAGGGGAAAAAATGAGAACCAAGACCTGTCATGTAAAGGTACAAGATCCCAACGATGAATGTAACTGTACTGCATACCTAAAATGTACCAATAAACTCAATAAAAAGAAAAAAAAGTAATAAATTTTAAAAGTGTTTAAATAATTATCCAAATATGTATTGACTTAATTTTTAATATGGTTATTTTCATGTGAGGGTTAAGTCAGCTAAGAAGAAACTCACTTGCCAAATAGAGTTTTCAGTAATTAGGTAATTACTGAACCCATATAAGATAAAATAATATTAGACTAAAAAGGAGTAAATTTTGAATTCTTTGCATTTTTTAAAGTGAGCAATTCTCTGAGTTTGAAGAACAATATATCCTATTTAGAATAACTTAAATATGGATTAATTCCCATTGTTTTGAAAACCAGCTTTTTTTCTCATATTCTCTTTTTTTTAAGCCAAACACAGTCTCAAGTGCAAGTGCAGGATGAGGAGATTACAGAAGATGACCTCCGCCTTATTCACGAGAGAGAGTCTTCTATCAGGCAGCTTGAAGTAAGCCTTTCCTGTAGAACTGGGCTGCTGCTCTCTTAGTGAGTTTATGCTCACAAGCTTGGATAATGCTGGGCAAGAGAGAAAACTAAGTAAAGGTTTGAGTTTACTGGCATTTCTAATGCATAAATTGGAACAATAATAATCTCGTTAGTGTCTGTGATAGGATAAAAGAATATATTTTCCCTGCTTGAGCTGTTTTTTTTTGTTTTGTTTTTATATAATTCTACTGAGTTACTTTAGTATTAGAAAATACCAGTCTGGAGACCAGTGTCTGTCCAGAGACTCTGGGTCGCTTTCCATAGCATATAATGCACATCATGCCTGCATGAGTAAGGCTTTGTAAATAGATTTAAAGGTATTTTATTTCTTTGTAGTATGTTTATGACATCAGAGAGACCTAATCATAGTTCTTGTGGAAACTTAGAAAGTAAGTTAATAACAGCTACCAATGCCTGTAGTGAGAGTGCCAGGCACTGAGGGGCAAATTCTCTATTAATCACCTCAGTTGTCATAGAAGCTCTGGGACTACTTAACTGTGTCGTTATCATTGCCACTTTACAGATGGGGAAATGAAGGCCCATGACAGATATGTAGATTGTTCCACCCACCTGAATAGAATATTTAAATTTTACTTTTTAATTGGACAAAATAATAATTGTATATTGAAGAAAAGTAAATTTATAACATCCTGACTCTGAAACATAAACCCATTATCCAGTAGTGAAAATTATAAATTCACTAATGCATTGCATATTCAAATTTATTAATGTGAAACTAAATTTGTACCTTATGTTTCATCATTTTAAACTATCAACATATGAATTTTTGCTAGACATAAGTCATAAGAATATTTGTACTCTTGTAAAAAATACTTGTTTGGTAATAAAAACTGTTATATTGTATCAGATCCACTCAGAAAGACCAAAAGGATTTGTTTAAATCAAAAATCCATGACTCCTCTGTACTACTTGATCATTTCCATCCTGCGTCACCTCATTTTTAATAGCATATACTTATTTTAGAGAACTTCTGGCTATTGTTCAAAAAATCTTTAGTCAGGATTCCTTATAGTGAAATGTTTCCCTGATAGTTCTAAAATTTGCATATTAAATCTGAAAGCATCATTGTCTGTGTGAGAGTTGGTTTGGATTTTTAAAATTTTCCCCTTCTGTTGTGTGGGCCTAAATTTCTAATAATATATAATAATATATGTCTTTTTGTCTTAGGCTGATATTATGGATATTAATGAAATATTTAAACATTTAGGAACGATGATCCATGAACAGGGAGATGTGATAGGTAAGTATACTAACTTGGGTTTCATGGGGTAGGAGGAATTCACATGTGACTCACCTGCAGGTTTCCAGAGTAAGCATAACTGCTTCATTTATGTCTCTTTGAGTTCCTCCAGAATCAAAGCTGTAGTCTGTGCAGCAAAGTGTCCTCACTGGCATTATCTAAAACAAACCTTATTTTTCAATGTTACTGTTTAAAACAACCGGCTTCATTTATTTCAGAAGTCACAAATCAACCTACTTGCTACTGAGGCTATAAAAGATGTGAAGTATCATTGTTCCATTGTATCTGTACGCCTTTAGTTTCAGTCTTCTCCCTATTTAATTTTTTTCACGCTAAGGACTTTTTTTTAATTTTTGAAAATTAATTTTATTGGTACATTTTAGATGTATATAAAATGATAACATTCATCACAGAGAATTTGTACCTGTTCATGTTATATCTTAACTTTTCTTTCCATTTCCCTACCCTCCCTTCAACCCCTGTTCCCCTCCACCAAGGATTTTTAAGGAAGCTTGTGGGATTTGTAATTGAGCATACTACCTTGCCTTGGGTCTTACTGACAAGGTGAGGTGTTGGTGACACCTTTGTAAAAGCATAAAAGCAAAGAAGATAAGATGTTCCACGTAGAGGAGCACAGCATACAGGCTTTGCGGGAGAAGCACGCCTGGCATTTTTGTTGAGTGATGCAAGTGTGAGGAAGGTGGTGTCATGTAGGTGTCACCTGTACGAGGTGACAGGGGGTGGTGTCATGTAGGAGCCTGAGTCGCTGGAAGAACTTTATTATTAACGACCAGTATGAAACCACGATAGAATTTGAGCAGTGTTATGAACTGGCACTGGTTCTGAATACTCCCTTGGATGCTGGGTTTAGGGAACACTGTAAAGCAGCAAGACCAAAATCAAGGACAACACTGGAAAGGGTAATCGAGGTGTAAGCAGTTGTGTTGGCTTGGATCACCATGGAAGCCCAGAGGTGGTGAGACGTGATGGAATTCCACATATTTTAAAAATGTGGGTCCAGAAGATTTACTGACAGGCTTTGTGTGAGTGTGAGAGAAGTGTTAATTCGAGGTGGCCCTAAGGTTTTGACCTTGTGTATTAACATGGCGTTGTTGCCTTTTTCTAAGGTGGGAGATGTGTAACTGGAGAAGTTTTAGAGGGGGTGTGAGCCAGTCAGGTCTGATGATGAGTGAGAGAAGATGAAGACTGGACTGAAGTTCTTGAGTTACACCATAAGGAATGGGATAAAGTGCGCAGATGGAGAGTAGGCCCTTGCGAGGTGCGTGTGCAGTTCCTAATGGCAGGAGAGAGGCAGAACACTCAGACCCTGCTTGTGCTCGGAAGATCGGGTCATGGGAGAGGGAGAAATGTCTTATGATTGTTCCTGTGGTCTCTGAGCTCAGAGTCAAGGTTTCTGACTAACTGTGAGAATGCTGAGGAGGAATAAGAACTAGGAAGGAAAAGAGGCAGAGTATGACAATCCTCCATTTGTCAGGGAAATGAGACAGCCTTGTTCTCGGCAGTCAAGTGTGTTAAAGTGCAATAAATCAGCTGAAGATTATTCTCTTTGTATCTGTGTTCAGACCTGGACTTTGGTCATATAAATATAACTGCAGGGGCAAGGGAGCTGAAGATGCATCGAGACAGTGATGTTAAATGATTGTTCATGGAATCCAAGTTAAGTAAAGACTGAAGGGAGAATCAAAGTGTGTGAGAGAAAGGAAAAATATGGTAGGATCATCTTTGTAGACCAGGTATTAGAAAGACTGAGCTGTGAGGTTGGCAGGTGGTGATCACAGAGTAAGACTCTTGAAACTGTGATCAGGTAGCAGCCGCAGGCATTGGGCTGTGACCATAGACAAGAGTGGGGTGACAGGGAGAGACTGAAGAGAATATGATGGAGGAGCAGAGACCAGAGTATTAGAGGGACCAGCCAGTGTATGATGGAATCCAGTATGTATCATAAGAGAAGTGATGACTGTACTCAGGGAGTCGGAGCTAAGATACTCGGGGAATTAAAGATTGTGAGATCTGGGAATGTCTGCCACCTGGAGGGGAGGATGCATGTGATAGAATGAATTTTAGAACTGAGAGTTGGAAAGGAGGAGGAAGAGCCACAAGTCTCATGCTGCAGTGACCCCTGCCCCACCTCCAGGGGGGACAAGAATGGGACGGAAAGCTGCCCCCTGAGAAGCTGTGTGGCCTGTGGTGCGGCCTGGGCTGCAGTACAGAGAGGGCTTGCTGGTGGCTGCAGAACAAGCACCAGTATTCGGTCTCGGCATTTCCCCTAAAGTTATCCAGTTATCACAGGCTTAGACCTGAATGGAGGCTTAGGCCTTCAAAGAATGCAAACAGGTAGAACATAGGTATTATGTTGTAATGGTTTCAAAGTAGATTGAGTTTACAGAGACAAAGGAATAGCAAATTGGGAAATACTAGCTATATATGTGTATATGTGTGTATATATATATATATATATATAGAAAGAGAAATGTGAATAATAAAGGAGATTTTGAGAAGGAGCCACAAGGAATGTCATGAAAGTTCACTAGAATTTATTGTCATGAAACCAAGATAGCCAGGTTCTAAAGATCACTTTTTATTTCCCCCTAGGGTCATAGTATTCTTTGAAGAGTCTCAAGTTAGCATTTTTTACCACGTGATGGGAATCCTGGGTCATGGGAAGAAGGTTGACCTCGCTTTGTGCTTACTGATCTTGACTTAGAGCAAACTGCAAAGTGTGAGATGGAGCCGAGCCCTAGCATTGACCCTGGGGTAGAACTGGAGTTGAGTTGTAATGAAGATCGTCAAGCTCCTTTTCTTCATATATTTGTGTTGCTTGGATTTCCCGAGAAGTAGCGTAAAGGATTGTGTCCACCTTAAATTCACCTTGTGACGCAGTACTATTAGTGTTTGAATAGTGAGAATAGCGGTCACACCTTGAATGAGATCTAGTCCTTTGTTGCTGGAGCATCAGTACGTGCTAACCGTTTTTTATGTGCTTGTGTCTCATTTTAAAGATAGCATAGAAGCCAATGTAGAAAGTGCAGAAGTTCACGTTCAGCAGGCAAATCAGCAGCTGTCCAGGGCCGCAAATTACCAGGTAACGTTAACTGTGACACATTTTCTTATAATTTAAGCATATGAAGTTACAGCGTGTGTGAGTTGTGTCTGTCTGGAGCATCGTCAGGTGTAAAGTGGCTGCAGATGTTAATTTTACAATCTCATGGCAGAGGGAGGGGTTAGAAATATGCAGTCAGTTTAAAATTGATTTTAGCTGGTGTATTCTCTGGGATGAAGCAGTTAGTGGCCCACAGGGGTTGGAAGGTTAGTGCGTGTGACAGTGTTTAGAGTCCTGAGGGCTGCAGTGAACAACTTCAGGCTTTTCTGATGGCTCTGGATGTCCTTGGACGTTCCAACCCAGAAACTCTTTGACAGTGTTTTCCTTCCATCTTCTACCCTTCGTTTTTACCTTTTCTTTCTTCTGTCAATGCTGCTGTTGACTAAAGTGGCAGAGATCCTTGTTCTAGAAAGAACTCTTCGGGTTCTGTGGAAGTGATACAACTTGGAGTGTCAGTAATCGACAGTCTGTCCGCATTCCGCAGACTCTTCTCCAGAAATGACTGCTTCTTAAGTGACTCATGTGAAGTAATGAGCCCTTTTATAGTGTCACATGCAAACTATGTTCCAAACACTGTACAGATATTACAAACATGAACTACTAATGTATCATACAATATTTAGTCCATTGATGTTCAACTGGAATAAAACCAGGCTCATAGCATTTGATTTTGCTTTTAAAGCTTTATTTTTTTCTCTTCATCATAATTATTTTCTCCATAATTGTTATTTTTTATAGGAGAATGGTTTATTATAAAAGATAGTACATAAAATTTAGACAACAGGTGTTATATACAAATTAAGAGAACATTCAACTTGAAAAAGGTAGCTGATCACTAAATTAAAGGCAAAATGCATATGAAACAGTCACATTGATTTGGTGACAATAATGGTCTTTAATTTTCAGGAATGTTTTGCACTAGTCTCACCATTCACTATGCTGTTTTTAAGTCTGCAACACCCAGTACATAACTCAAATTTGAAATCCAAATAAATCCTCAATACACAGAAGCCCACACTGGAATGGTCTAATATCCTAAGCAATATTGAATTATACACAAGATAAAAAGAGAAGAAAACATCCCTCTAACTCTCTCTTAAATTAAAAAGAGACACATGAAGTGCATGTGTTACATTTCAATTATGTCAAATAATTATGAGCTAAGGTACTGTCAACATCTTGCACAGCTTCAGTTGCTTTTCACTTTTCTCATTACCCTGTGAGGTCGGCTTTCATATAACTGCTGTTTTTTCACCAGATACATCACTGACAGAATGACTACCTTTTACCAGCTTCATACACATAAGTCAGAGATTCAGCTCAGCAGGATTATTGTTGCCATGTTGTGGACTTTAGTTGTCTCACACGAATAGCTAAAAATATACAAACTGTGCACTTGCATGATAATCTGTAAATGCCAGTCTTATGGACTGTTAGCGTCTAATTGCTGAAATTTAGTGTGTGAGAGGATTTGTCAGGGCCTGGGTTACGTGTATTTTGCTTTGCTTTTGGATTTTTCTTCCTTGTAGAAGGACAAGCTTCTAGGCTTATCCCTAGAAAAGCCTAGAAAAGGTGCCTGCCTTCCCAAGTAGGTCTGGAGCTGCCTCCAGGGCGACTCCTACAGGCTTTGAGAGATAGTGCTCAGAAAAGAAGCAGCCTTCTAAGTGGTTCTACTTGGAAGATTGATACTAAATTTATGCCCTGAAAATCATGATGTTTCTGAATAGTTTGGTGAATTGAGAGTACAAGTAAAGGTGCTAAAATCTACTGCTATTACTATAGCACCCAAAGACTTCACTAGCTCACCGTAGGGGAAGTGCTCCCTGAGCTACAGATACATCATGGTGGGGCGCCTGGTAATCAGGTGGATTGTGGGAGAGATATTTATGCATGCTGATATTGAAACCAGCAAAACTGTGTTTAATACTTGAGGAATGTTCACTTGAAAAATTAGATTAATATGTGGAATACTAAAAGTACTCATATTTTTCAGGGTAATTTCAGAGTCTTACATCTATCTTTTTATAAAATGTATAGTACTTCTTTTTGATACAAAGTAAATTCACAAAGTTTTCTACTTTATAAGAAAAAGGATTCCTGCATATTGGTGTGAGACACACAAGCCACTAAAGAAAACAGGGACCAGGAATGAAGAATGAAACAAAACTCAACCTTCATGTTTTGAATGACAGCTTTATAAATTTGTTAAATTTTGGGGTTTTATTGTTTGTTTGTTTGTATGTGGACATTCCTTTTTTTTTGGTACTGGGTATTGAACTCGGGTCCTTGCACTTGAAAGGCAGGCAGTAGAACCTCTGAGCTAAGTCCCTGGCCCATGAGTTGACATTCTTGAATACAGTTTCCAGAGAACAGAAACGATTTTGAAACTAATTTACTTCAGTAATGATACCAAGTATTTTTACTTGCTGATCCTTTAAAAGGACTCACTTTTAAGAGTTAATTTTTTAAGCTGGGTGTGGTGGCTCACGCCTGTAATCCCAGCACTCGGGAGGCTGAGGCAGGACATTGCTGTGAGTTCGAGACCAGCCTGGGCTACATAATGAGTTCCAGGTCAGTCTCAACTATATAGTGAGACCCTGTCTCAAAAAACCAAAATAAAAGAGTGCTTAATAAAAAATTAAAAATATGTAAGCTTTTAAGATGTACCTTTTTTTCACTCATAAGTAACCTCAGTCTGTCGGCTTAAGTCAGTAAAATTTTCTTTTCTCTGAAGCATAGCTACACCCCTAGAAAACTTCCCAACAATATTTAAAAATTGCTGACTGAATTACAGCACTACTTCAAGAATATTTTTTGAAAGAATAGCACCTTATATGTGGTAGAGATTTTTTTAGAAGCAGTAAGCACAGCCAAAAATTTGAGGGCAATAAACTATTACTGATTTTGCTCTTGAAATGAGCCAGATTCTGTTCAGTTGCTATGGAGACACCTCATTAAATCTGTAAACATGTGTTTTGTTTTTGCATCTGCAGCGCAAATCCAGGAAAACCCTGTGCATCATCATTTTTGTCCTTGTCATTGCAGTTGGGATTGTCAGTCTCATCATATGGGGACTGAAAGGCTAAAGTTACACAGGAGAGCACCACTGCACTACGCTGTCTAGGTTATGTAGGAAGATGCTGTAATCATGTTTTTATTACTGTTTTAAATCTATTGCAAAGGATGTTTCCCATACTTAATTATTTTTACGGGGGGTTTCCTTTGGATTAAATTTGATATTTTCTAATACTGAACGTTTTTCTAAGTATCACTGCTAGCATAACTGTCATGCTTTTTAATTTAATAACTGTAGGGTTTCTGCCCACAATGCACATGCCTTTCATCTATAATTTATTTACTCATTTGACTTTGGAAATTAGTAAGCTTAAAGATATGTGTATTCTATGTGTTAAAATCTAATTTTGATTAGAGCCAGCAGAAAAAATATTCTGAGTAATTTAAAAAATTAACATATCTGTCTTTACTTATTTTCCAGTCTGCAGTAGCACAAATTATATATTTTGCTTTTATTGTTGGATTTCTTTTAAGACCCTTGTTTTCTCTGAATAAAATCAGTGAATAGTTTCTGGGAATATCTTACGCTTCTGATATGTATATATTAAGCATTTGTTGTAGATTGCCAAGTAAAAATAATTGGGCCAGGTTGTTCTTATGTATGGTCTGTCAAAGTCTGATATTTACTAGGAGAAGTGTAGATACTGTAAATGTTTGAATGTAATTTGGAGGAAGAATGTTAAAAAAAAATCCATACTGCTTTCTATTCTGTTTAGATTCTAGAATCCAGCTTGTTTTTCCACTGAACTATCTGAACAGTACCATCTGGTTTTGTGGGCCATAATTTACTTTCTCTTATGCCTAAAAAATAATGACTACATATGTATCTTTGGTCAGATTTACTTTTAGGAAGTAACTTTCCCACAATTATTGTTTCAAGCACCTAATGCTTACAATGTATTGTTTACATTGGATGCCATTTTGTACCATCCTTCATTGGAAAAGAAACTAGATGTTTGTCACTTAACTCACTTGCCTTTTTAAAATCAAAGTTGTTTTAATGCACTATTCTGAATACTGTAAAGAAGATTATCTTAGTTTGTAGTTTGTATTTTATAGTGTTCTTGTATAGCAGTTTGGTAGTGAAGACATTGTTTGACATGGCAAGCTCTGACACTTCAAATGGGAACAAATAAAATATTAAGTAAATAAATAAATTGTATCCTTGCAACCGAAACAAAGAAGATTTAAAAGGTGACTGGGTAGGTCTGTATCCTGAGGAGTATGCATTCCTGGCACCAGTGCTCACTTCACGCTCTCCATGCTGTGCCGGCAGATCTCTACCCTGGAGATGTAACCACACGCGCTGTGGTTGTACATTCTGCATCTGTTTGATTCACCAGGTTACTCAAAAGTCTTTATTTTGGGAATATTCAACAGTTTTGTCACTGACAAGTAGAAACTGCTTTGCATGTCAACAAAACTTTTTTTGTGAGTGGGACTTTGAGACCGTGTTGCCAGAGCAAAGTTGCTTTAGTAAACAGGATGGGCGATGCATAGAAAATTCCTATAAATACTCCCTGACCCTCAGGCCTACTGGAACATGGTCTTTCATTGTGAGTTTTTAATGCAGCATGCTGGCATCTTCTGGCTACATACATGTACCAGTGGTATCCACGGATCAATTCAGTTTTCCCCCAGACCTCTATTTGATAAAATGTTTAGTCTCAACCCAGCCAATTGCATGTAGTTCTCTTAATTTCACAGTGAATTCCTTGTAACAACAAAAGCACTGGAAAGAACGTCTTTGGCATTTAAGTGACTTTATTTGAAATGCAATCATTTATAAATTAACGGGAACACCAGTCGGTGAATTAAAGAAGGAGGGTTTGCATTCTTTTAAGAAGCATTAATTTCAAGACAAAAATGTGCACAAAATATTGGAACACAAAATGAATAGTTCTAAGTGAAAAATAATAGCCAAATTTTAAAAAATACTGGTTTTTCTTTAGATCATTTTTAGAATTGCTTTGAAACATGAAGGTTGCACTGTGGAAGATAAAAATGTAGATTTTTTTTCATGACTGGACAGTGTGTCTGAATTTGTTTGATTCCATCTGAAGAACTTTCCCAAGTGACACACGTTTACCTCATTATGCTCAAAAGAGGTCCTTGAGCAACACGGATGAAGATTAAGTAGGTTCTTAAAGGACATGAGATTATCTGGCTGTCATATTATTTATTAAATATTTTGAAAGTGTTTCAGCTTTGCACAGTGACAGTAAAAAGTAACGGGTGCCACTATGATAGGGGCCTGGGATGCTCTATAAAATAAGTATGCCTAGGGCACAGGAGCCTGACCCAGACAGCAGAGCATGGCGCAGCTCTGGAGTTGGGCTCACTCAGCACTCGGCGGGCCTGTCACCATCTGCCCTGGGGACCAGCAGCACCGCACCTGAGCAGCCTGCCACCGGGCCATTCAATGTCTTCACTGCTTTTGTTCAAAATGGTAAAATCTTGTGTGCAAAATGTTGTGTTTTGAAAACCAGTCATTGTAGATGTATCTATAATGAAAATAAAAGTGACTTTGAAGGCTTCCTATTCCATGAAAAAGGTCTGTGGCTTAGCAGGGAATATGCAGAGTAGTTTTTGTAGTTGGTATAATTTTTATTTGTTAATGTAGAGAAATTAATGTCATAATAAAATTAAAACCTGTGTAAAGAAAATAGTCACTGTCTACCTTAATAGCTAAGAGCAATTACAAAGATAACTTCATTCAGCACTTATTTCATGAAAACCAAAACTGAATGAATGTGTTTCTTACGTGGGCAGATTGCTGCAATATAACTAAAATTTCAAAACAGAAGGAAGCAAGTTGATTGGGGAAGTTGGGAGGTGACTGACATTTCAGTTCATTTTAATGTGATGAAAATTCCTCATTACTGGTAAAGAACATCAGGCATCTTTCTTTACTGAAAGAAAAAGTATTAATGTGTTTTCAAAATTTCAGTTACTAGGGCCTGGGATTTGGCTCAGTGGTTCCGCCACCTGCCTCCCGAGCTCAAGGGCTCGAGTTCAATCGCTGGTACCAAAAACAAACAAACAAAATTTGAGTTAAGAAAAACCTATAAATTCCAGCCCTTTTCCACCCACCATGGCAGTTTAACCTACTAGGGAGAAAACACACTTACTGAATTGACAACAACAGCAAGCTGGACGCGTTACAGTGTCTGACTCTGACAAAATTTGGGATATCTCTGCTTAGCTACCCTAACATAGCTCATCAATCACTGCAGACCCTTTTCCCCTCGTATGTAGCAATATGTGTCCTCAGAATACAGTGGCAAAGAAGATGGGGAGGAAACTGAATGCTAAACGGTTATTTTCCTTCCCTTGGATTCTCCAAAAGTCAGTAGACTCCATGAAGTAATATGTAGCAATATGTGTCCTCAGAATACAGTGGCAAAGAAGATGGGGAGGAAACTCTGAATGCTAAACGGTTATTTTCCTTCCCTTGGATTCTCCAAAAGTCAGTAGACTCCATGAAGTAGCATCTCGTTCTCTATCTTAACCAGGCAGGTAGACAATGTTTTTTCCCCTTAGTACTTTTTTTTTTCTTTTACCCCACTGAAAATTGAACCCAGGGCCTTTGTACTGAGTAGCATCCCCAGGTATCTGTTTAGTTAGAAGCAGGGTCTTAATTGAGTTGCTGAATTGCCCAGGCTGGGCAGTTCGGCCTCAGCTTCCAAGAGTGCTAGAATTACACGCATTTGTTACTATGTCCGACTTTTTTTTACTTTCCAGTCAGGAAAACAGGAACCACTCCATGAATTGTGAATGTAAAAGGTTTTAATTGGGGAATTAGAAGTTTCCTGTGTGAGAAATGTGGGAGATTGAGGCACAGCAGTGCAGAAGTGAGAGTGTCAGGTGCTGGCCCAGGAGCTGCTGAGTCTTCAGAGCCCCAGAAGCTCTCTCTGTGCCCGCAGTGCCGAGGTGGCATTCAAGGAGCTGCCACCGGCTGTCTCTGCTGCTAAAAGCTCCAAAGTAGGTGACTTGCAAGAAATTTGGAAGCTGCTGTGAAGCCCATGTCCACTCCTTGGCCTGCTACAGCCTTTGAGGAAGGAAGGCATTTCCTATCCATGGTCTTCCAGCTCTCATGGAAATGCTTCTCATTGGCCCACTTTAACTCAGAAAGCAAAGCAAATTCTGGAAACTGGAGTTCCTGCTTTTCTGGTAGAACTGCAAAAAAAGAGGGTGGTGATACTGAGGTGACAGACTAGTACAATGATGAAACACTCATGTACGGAGGACTAACCCCATGAAACAGACAATTCTCTTCAAGAGGTCCTTTGATTTAAAAAAAACAAATTTTTTTTTTGAAGCACTGTTCTGGTGGTGAGTCAAGTTTTCAGCCACAAGATCTACATGTATGAAGATTCGGGCCACAGCACCTAGCAGCTTCTTACCCTCTCCTCCTTTTCCTCATAGTAGTTGCTTAATAAATAATTGATTCGGCACTTACCTTGGGCTAGTTTTTTGCATTGCTGCTGCACACATGGACACAGAGTTTAAGAGTTAACCAGCCAAGTGTGGTGGCACACGCCTGTAATCTCAGCACTTGGAGGCAGAAACAGGAGGACCACAAGTTCCAGTCTTATCTGGGCAACTTAACAAGTGTCCAAATAAAAACTAAAAAAAGACTAGTAACGTAACCCAGTACAGAGACCCCAAGTTCAACCCCATTATTGCAAAACAAAAAAGTGAACCCAGAGAATGTAGTCCTTATCCTCAAGGAGCTTACATTTTGGCACTTGGCCTTATAAAAAGGAGAAAATGGTGGGTGAGGAAAAGGCAAATAAGAAAGTATAAGGATGAATTTATCACCCTTGGGAAAATTTGCATTTGGCACCATATACTGTTAAGAACCAGCCTTTTGTTTATGTTTTCCCTTAAGTAATTAAATTTCATTTTATTTTCTCAAGTAGACTTTAATGGGTTTCTAAAAAGAAGCAACTACCTAGGGCAAGGGATTTAGCTCAGTGGTTCCACTGCCTGCTTTGCAAGTGCAAGGTCCCGAGTTCACTCCCCAGTACCAAAAAAGAAGAAGAAGCGGCAGCTAACTTGAGTGACAGTCTGTGTATAATATCTCCAAAAGTTGGATTCAGAGCTGGAGAGTCTTGGGATCCCAGGAGAAGGCAGACCGTTAGAAGGACAGGAGAGCAAAGAAGAATTTGAGATTATTTCATCAGCATGAACCCAATGCATTAAGTACACTTCTTTTAAAATGTACCTTAAAATGTTTTAAATGTACCCTTGCCCTGTTTCTTGGCAAATATTTTAATCAAAAGGTGCTATAGAAGAAAGCCTGCTTGATGGTTTATTCTAATTTCTCACAATTCAAATTCTGCATCATTATGCCAATTTTAAACCTTTTTTTTGGATTCATTTGTTTAACATAAAAAGTAATAATACTTTTTTCCCAGTAATCTTAATTTTAAATACAGAAATAAAACTCAGTAACTGACACACTAAATAGGTTTTTATAAACACTGTTTCTTCTGGCAGGTTTTTAAAAGGTTGGTCATGTAATTACTCTGAGTGGGATTCCTGTAGGTTTTGTGTAGTGATGGCATTTTACCCAAAATGTAAGTGGTGGATGGCAAAACCAGATTTCCTGTGCAGTCGTTACATACAAAACACCTCTGCTTGTTTTAGAGTCTTCTAGAACTGAACTGAGTCTTTAAATAAACTTGAAAGGGCAATAATCCCCACTTTCACCAACTCAAAGTACAAATTTCTAAGTATTTACTGTAAGTGCTGTCAGACAGTAATTGCTAACTCCAAAACCTATTAGCATTGATGAGTAACATAGAAATGCATTTAGTTAGTCTCAACTAAGACATATTGATACCTAGTTTCACTTTCTGATACCCACTGAAAATTTTATATGAAGAGTTTAATGGTAGATCTGAAATACATAACCCAGACCAGGAAAAAGAAAAGTAATTTTCCAGAAGTTAGAGATTAGTTTAACTCGAGAAAGATGCAATCTTTTGATTTTTTACATTTTTATCACTAAAGATTTGCTGGTGAAAAGCTTTCAGATCAAAACTGATCTTTCTGTTACAAATGATTCTGAAAACATAAAGCCAAATTTTACTGGAGATATATTGTTTTATTGCATTTTTCACCCCAAACCTGAGTGCTATGGTCATTTTTTTAGTTCATTTCAGGGTGTTTTCAGAATGCCTAACCACATCTGACCTCTTTCCAGTGCCAAATTTAATGTTTTAACCTCCCTACAGGTTACCATGGTTTTAATAGTTACTTCATATTTTGCAATGGAGAATATACAAAAATTAGTAAGGTAACCTTTGTCATATCATTCACATTAGTTCTATCTTGGAAATAACCAATACTATACTTTGACATGGCATTGACATTTGAAATAAAGTTCATGTTGCTATAATGGGTAAAATCTATAATGTATAAAATCTGTTTAATGCTAACATTTTAGTTAAATTTGTTTGAGATAACTAGGTTTATATACAGTTACAAGAAATAATGCAGAGATCTCTCTTCTATGCTTTTTCACCCACTTTCCTCCAAAATGAATATTTGAAAAACTATAGCAAACCATCATACAACAAGGATATTGACATTGATGTAACCAACAGAGAACATTTCATACAGAATATTTTCCAATGCAGAGATCCCTCACATTGCCTATCATACTCACACCAATTTCATTGACAACCATAATCTGTTCACCATTTTTACATTATTTTTATTTCAGCAATATTATATAACAAATCATAACTGTAGGTAGCCTTTGGGCTTGACTTTGTCATTAACCTAATTCTCTGGCAACTCACCCCATTTGTAGTAAATCCATCAATATGTCCTTTTTGGTTTGAGTACTGTTACATACCACACACCAACTTCATCTGCTGAAAGACCTGGTGTTTGGCTGTCTTTGTTTTACTTATTTTCTGGCTGTTATTTAAATTGGGTAATTTCTGTTGTTTTTAATCTTCACAGTTTTACTGACTTTTGTGTGTGTGTGTTACCTTCTATTCTGCTATTGGACCCATTGATTGAGTGTTTAATTTTGTTTGCTGCGGTTTTCAGCTCTGAAGTTTACGGCCCACTACGTAAAATGTTTATGACTTCCAAAGTATAAAACAGTGCTACAGTAGAAAGGATCGATTTATACAAAAGTTGGCTTATTTTAAATAAATTAAAAAGTACATAATTTTGTAAAGCTGATTAGGAAGAAAAGTAGAAGAGACAAAAAATATTAGGAATGAAAATATGAGTAAAGAAAAGATATAAAAATAAGGCTAAACAAACAATATCAACACATTAAAAACATTCAAATAAATACTTCATGAAAACTACAAATTACCAAAATTGGCTAAAAAAATAAATAGATGGTTTCTGCTTCTGGCAGTATGGTTGGCTAAAATGTTCTACAATCCTGCTAAATACAAGTAGTTCTTGAATAAAATAAAACACGTGCTTAGTTCATTTTCTGGCTCATTAGAAAGCAAGATCATTGCTAAGAGCTATTACAAATGATAGAGCTGAAACCACAGTAATAAGGAAAAAAAAAAAAAAAAGACTGAAACTAGCCATGGACATCAAGCAAGGTGAAGAAACTAAACTGAAAACCCCTGGTTAGAACCGAATCCTTTAAAGTATAAAAGTAGTGCCAGGTCAGTGGACTCTGATGGGTTCTCCAAGAAGTGAATGAAAATCCTCTGAAGGAAAGCCTTCCTGGTTACTGCTTGTAGATTAAATAATCACCCAGGAGAATAAGCCATTTTAAGTGAGAAAGAGCAGATTTAAATACTCAAGAAATTTAGATGTTGTGCTATACTTAATAAAAATTTAAAAATGTTTAAAAGAACAGTAATGAATATATAATAAAAGCTATAAGAAAAAAACATTAAAAAGAACCAAAGAGAAGTTAATGAAGTGTAGAATGTAACTGTTGCTTTTTTTTTTTTTTTTTTTTTTTTTTAACCTTGCACTTGCAAGGCAAGCAGCATAACCACTGAGCTAAATCTCCAGCCCTGTAAATGTTTCAATACATAACTCAGTGGTGTGAGAGCAGATTTGTCACAAAGGAATTGTTAATTATTTGACAGGAAGAAACATATAGTGCAACAAAGACAAAGAGATAGGGCCAGGGATTTAGCTCAGTGGTTCCACCGCTTGCAAGTGCAGGGAACCAAGTTTGAGCCCCAGTACAAAAAAAACAAACAAACAAAAAACAAAGACAAAGAGATACAAAATGTAAACAAGAGATTGAGACCTAAGGATAGAATGAGAAACTCTTATATGGATTAAATGGAGTCCCAAAAGTAGAGAATAGAAAACTTGGAGGCAGATGATTGTTGAGAAATTTCCAGAGCTAGGCAAAAACACAAATGCACAAAAAATAAAATACATATCAAACAAGAAACATAAAAGCTAACTAATGTAGACTCATTTTTAAGAATCTTCAGAATAAGGCAAAGAGATCTTAAAGCAGCCAAAATAACTAAATATTCTATAAAGAAATTGACAAATTTAACGGATACTTTTTAATGTCAAGAAAAATGGAAGCCAAAAGACAATGCCTTCTTCAAAGTACAGAGAATAACTGTCAACAGAAAGTTCAATGATACTGTCTTTCAAGAATGAAGGTCAAATAAAAGCAGACAGTTTCTTTTTTTTTCAAAATAGGAATTTATGACCAGTAGACTTTCATTTAAAGAATATGGGTGAATTTTGCTTTAGAGCAACATGACTCAGAAAGGCAGACCTGAGATAAAGAAGGAGTAATGAACTAAGTACTAATAATCTACTGGGAAAGATAAGTGATATTGTCTATTAAATGATGCTTCTTCTGTTGGATTCAAAAGAAGATAAATTACTACCAAGCTGGCATATAAGCTAGGAAATACATATGTGGGGAAGATGTGTAAGTGCACTTGGAAGCAATATGTATCTTCCAAGAATTTTATTCCTGAGGGTAGAAGTTAAATAATAATTTTAGATTTTTAACCTGTGTGTTCATAGATAGCCATTAAAGAAGAGCGACAACATGTAGTGTCCAGACCAGTAGAAATAAAACATTCTGGAAAAAGAAAAAGTCTTTTAAAAGAAGAAACCCCCAAATTTAACAGGCCAAAAATTCAAGGAAACAGAAAAGGCATTAAAAGAAAGAAAACGCTATAAGTTAATCATTG